ATATATATATATATATATATATATATATATATATATATATATATACATATTTATAAAAGTTTCCTGTTTACTTTATCTTTTCTTAATTTCTGCTACTGGACTTAACAAAACAAAGACGACTAAGGAGACTAACTAAGATAAAAGCAAATTAGGATGTGGGGAGACAAGATGAGTGGCCAGAATAGATAAGATAAAATAAAACTTTATTTGTCACATGCACTGCATACATACAGGAGCATAATAGACAGTGGCATGTATTAGTGTATCTGCAACCAAAGATCAGTGCATGCGTAGGAACACACATGGAATTAAAGGAAAATAACACACACACACTCAAACATGATGTGAAATATACAAACGCGGAAATTCAGACGAAGACAATATAGACTGAGCGGTCAAGGCCCATCTTGTTTATCAAAAGTGACGAGACATCAAATCACCGTCAAAGACTCAGACGACAACATAATCAGGAACGTGAGCATCTTCACAGCGTTTCATTTTATTTTCCAGTTTTTTTCTGTTAGTTGGATCACTGAACTGTCTCCTGTCTTGACAAAAAGTATCAACCGTGTTAAACATTTGACTCATTTCTTATTAGAAAATAAACACACATTCATTTCAGCCCATTTCAAACCGCTTCATAACGACAACGACAGGTATGGTCTCTGCATGAAGAGTTTGTGCTCTTGTTTTATCCGTATACGTGATAAGATATTCTGTGTGTGTACGCCTCGGAAAACAACTTGTCCAAACAATGGCAGGATTCAATCATAACAGAATGACCTTTTACACAGAACAATTGCTGGTAAGATGAGTGTAGGTAAAAAAAAAAAAAAAAAGCAATGGTCCCTTTATGATACACAAAATTCAAAATAGGACTGGGCGATATGACCAGAAATGACAATGTGACATCGTGGAGCTTAAACTTGATATTTCAGCATTTTTAAAATCCTCTTTTAATCACGATATTATTGTTTAGTTCAACACTAATGCAGTGGTGAACTGTGGCTCACAAACATTGATCCTCTGACCCTCGGACACTCATGGGGTAAAAACAAACAAACAAGTCTAAAAAAAGTTAACTCAGGTCCTCTGGACGTTCAAAAAACAAACAAAACAAACAAACAAAAAAAAGTCCAGAGGACCTGACTTAACGTTTTTTTTTTTTTTTTAGATTTTTCTACCTGGATTATTGAGCATGCATCAGGACAACCAAACAACATTTCAACTGTCCTCTCACGTTCAGACTTTAAACCAGTCCAGCACCAGAACAAAATTAGGCCCAGTCTAACAGCAGGAAAGCTGAACACTCAATGTTCAATGACCAAATTTATAACAGCAACCAATGTCACAATTATTATAGATACTTTCTGACAAAGAGCTTTTTAAAATGTCTGAGCTCCAAATACTTCCTAACATCTTGTCAAACAGATGCTTTCACAGCAATAAATCTCTAAATGAACATGGTGCACACACACTGCTACATAAGTATAAAGTTCTCTGGTTTTTCTATCAACTTTTCTTCTTATTATTATTTTTAACTGGTATTATGACGACTTCCTTTCAAGAAAGTGTTTCCCCTTCCTCCCAAACTCCGTTATAAAATTATCCAACTAATTTTTTGATGACTCACTAAGATGTTGTACCATTATACAACATATTTAATCTATCTTGGTGCTGATAACTCACATTTTAGATGTGCTTGATCTAATTTAATTCTAGTAAATGGAATATTTAGTAAATAATTTTCACCTCCCTCTTCCTTCAATAACTCTTTATCTATGATGGTACTCTCTCTTCCTCCTTTTTCTTATATCTATCTATCTATCTATCTATCTATCTATCTATCTATCTATCTATCTATCTATCTATCTATCTATCTATCTATCTATCTATCTATCTATCTATCTATCTATCTATCTATCTATCTATCTATCTATCTATCTATCTATCTATCTATC